TGACATCACCAGCTACTCGAGCTTGAATAGAGCTTTTAGAAAGTGTCCACAGTGTGAGAGGGGGATTCTCTCAGAAGAGGAGAAGGGAAAATATAGATGATTCATCAGAAGGACGTGGAGCTCTTTAGCCATCCAGGAAAGTGACACACGAGGGGATCTAAGTTAGTTTTCCCTTATTTCAGCAGATTCTGGCTCCTGATTCAAAAACAGACTCAACCAAAGTGGAGCCGCTGTAAGGCCAGCTAATGATCGGTATCACCAAACCTCCAGTTCAAGTCGGACTTTAAGACATCGCTTTCAGAAAGACTTACATCCAGGGCTGGAGTTGACAGGAGGATGTGTGTGGACTGTGCTACGTCAGCAGCGTGCAGGCTGTTGTGGTAGGCCACATCTGAATGGTAGTGATCTTCTAATGTCATCATGTAGGCCACAAATGTATCTGCCGGGATCTTAAATGTCTTTAGAAGGTCTCGCTCCTAGGAGAAGGAAACAGGGATAAACATGAGGAAGGAAACTTAAGTAACGTTTAAGTAGTAGGAAGTAGCAGAGGAGTCCTTACCTGGAAGATGGCGTACATGATGCAGGTGAGAGGTCGGTTGTTGGAGAACTCTGAAACCGAGAAGATGTTCAGGCCCCACTTGTTGAGGTCCTCCAGCTCCTTGGACAGCAGCTCCTCCTTATCAGTCTTGACCCCGAAGCGCGCGATGCTGCTGCTGGAGAGCGAGGGCCCGTGGGAGACCTTCTTGACCCCGCTGATCTGTGTCATCAGCTGCTGCTTCTGCTGCTTCTTCTTCTCCCGTGTCTTGGATGTTGGCGATGGGATCTCCACCTCATTTTGTTTGTCTGCGTGAGTGGGAAATAAAAACGATGGATTTTGGTTGAGTAAGAAGCTTATTCAGGAGTTCAGTGAAGATGTCTGTATGATGGTTGGGATGTGAGAACACAGGTGCGCCTCGGGGGGGTTTATTGATTCGCTCACTCATTCATTCATCTGTCCCTCCAGCCGTTTGTTTATTTATGCTCGCTGTCGTCCACCTGCAGTCTCAGAGCTCCCACTGTTCATTCATCCACATCCCTCAACCCCCCCTTGCAGCGCCTCCGCCCCCGCCCCCCCGTCCCAGCCTCACAGCAGGTGGCTCACATCTCATCTCGCGTTCTGTGACTCTCCGAGGTCAGCCCGTTGACACGCTCAGAGCTGAGGCTTCGCCACGGGCAAAACTGTTGAGTTTTTTTGCAGCTCTATCAGATTCGATAGTTGATGACATCAGCGAGCCTGT